CCTTCAAGCTGTTTGGAACGATTTCTAAGACGGATTAAATCTCCGCTTACGCGTTAATAGCGCGAAATTTATCGCTTATTAATTGTTCCAAATTGGCCAAAAGGAAAATCTTTAAACCCCCATAACTTTACAAAAAATGATCATTAAAAACATCTTTTCTTTATTTAAGCTCAAGACAATAATACCTTTCGAATGATAGTTAAAACATTCGTCAAAATTGTCCAGTTAAAAAGTCGAAATTTGTCTGAAGAAAAAAAAAGCCCACCCCGCGCACAAATATTCCGTTACTTTCGTTACGAAAATGGGAACAAAAATGTTTTGGTTCTCTAGAGTTTTTCCGGCCAACTTTTAACGGGTGAAGGATTTGGTAATCGTAAAGCACTAGAAACTATTAGCAGCTTGATAGGTTGAAAAGTGTTTTAGTACAATTTTGTCTTGCAGGTTGCTGTTTGAAAAAAAAACTTTGTTTTGAAAAATTCCCCAGTAATATATTCTATTTAAACAAAAACTTTCCATTTTTTTCATATTTCATAATCTAACAAAAAAACTTTTGTAAAAACTTGCAGGTGGTGTGGAAGAGCCACCAAAATAACGCAACTCAAATTTTTTGATTCTTCAATTTTAACAGAAAAATTTCGAACTTCGCAAACCAGTGTTTTAAAACCAACTAATTTCGAAGATACTCAATTAAACTGTTTGAGGGGAACCAGGCTGAATAGTCAGTTAAAAATCCAAATCTCCTTCGAAACTGATGTTTGTTTAACTCATTGAACAAAACATACACCGAACCCCCACCCCACAACAACCTCAAACCCCCCCCCCCCCACTACAAACCTAAACCCTCCCCACGTCTCCCCGACAACAATCCCCACGTTTACCCGACTACAAATCCTACGTCTCCTCGACTAAAATTCAACCATCCACGTAACCTCCTCAAAAAACCGTAACATATGTTTATATCTCATTTTATTAGAATAGTTTTTATTGTCTAAATTGTAACATTATAATTTATTTCAAATCAATTCAAGGCAATTTTTCAAAACTTAGAGAGATTGAATACAAAATCCAAAATAACCGTTTAAAATCAATGAAACTCCAGTTCAGGTAATTATCAACAGAAATGATTTGAAATTAATTTTTTGAGTGGTGGGCTTTTTAAATTGATCTTTCAACTATGCCAGATAGATTTCGAACTTTGCAAACCAATGTATCAAAATCAGCTAATTTTGAAGTATAGACAACTAAAATTTTTGACAGGAACGAGGTAGATTATTTTGCAAAAAAAAATAAAAAGTCCGAATCTTCTGCTAAGCTGGATTGTTTGTTTATTCATTGAAGAAAACAAATAACGATCAATAATTTTACTTTACTTTCCAAATTTATGACTTGAGTTTTTATAATTGATCAGTTTTAAATACCAACTAAAATTCTTTTGTATAAGTTTTTTGAATGATAGAGCCAGTATAACAAACCAGAGTTGCATCCAACCAACTTCCAAAATACCTCAGATTACCCGACTGATATTTGACTTTTCATAAAAAACTCAAGTTCGCAATGACTTGAGTTTGCTTTTTGGAAAACAAAAAAAATGCAGATAGTTGCTTTTTTGGTTTTCTAGGCTAAATTGGGTTATAGCTATGCCATAACAAGCGGCGGTTTGATTTTGTCTTAATTTACTCCAGAACATAGCCCAATTGGCAATTTTCAAACTCCCAGACCTTTACAAAAAATAATTGGTGCTAAAATACCTTTTAAAATTTAAGCTCAGGACAACAATACTTTTTGAAGTAAATGATATAATGATATTTTAAAAAATCTGTCAAAATGACTAGTTAAAAAGTCGAAGTTTGTCTAAAGAAAAAAGCACCCCGAGCACAAATGTTCCGTTACGAAAGTCGGAACAATTACCCAGTGGATTTACCCAATGGAGTTGGAAAAGCAAAAAATGCGTGTAAATCTCTTTTTTTACTGTCGACAATTTCGAGTAAATCTTTTTTTACTATGGATAATATATGGACAAAAACTAAAAAAAAAAACGAAGCGGAATCGAAAATATGTCTCGGTTGATAATAAATCAATCATTGGTTTTCAACCGTGGCGTGGTGCATATGAAGTCCATGATGTGGTCGTTGGTGGTATAGTGGGGGTTGCTGAAATAGTTGTCCTCGCAGACTATGTTCATGTCTCCCTGTGGCACCTGGATACTCTTGATCTCTGAAATCAACAAACCCTTTTGTTTGTCCACAACTTCCGTCAAAACTGACATCTAAATTGGCTCTAAATACGTTTACTACCGTTGAGCAGCAGCAATTTTTGTTGTTATTAAGTTTATGAGTTTCGCTTAACGAAGCTATGGCAGATTTACAAGAGTTCTCCTTGTATTTTTGTTATTTCATTAACAACTTTGTGTGGATTTTTTAATATATATCATTCAAGAGCATCCATGAAGTTCTCTGCAAAATCTGATCTGTTGAAATATCCATGTGCTCATCCACGGCAGAGTTTGAGCATGATTTTTATAGGTTGAATTTATCAATGAAAAAGCGGTAGAGCGAAGTTTTCGCTTTTTGCATGGTTGATTCTGAGCATATTTTTGATTTAATTAATCCATGACATGAATTTCGTTAAATTTGATTGGATTGATGAGTGGAAACTCAATATATGATTCAATTATTTGGACTTGACTCACCGGCACAGTCTGGATCTGACTGGAGATTTTCCGGCTGGAGACACTTGACTGGGAAGAAGCAGTACTTGCCCATGAAATCCTCTCCACACTCACAGAAGCCCAGCTGCGGCTCACACCTAGTATCAGTTACAAACCTCATGCGTTTCTAAATCGTCCCCTTTGCACACAAAAAGTGAGAGTTTTTTATTGAAAATATGACTTTATTTGAAATTAAAGGGCAAACGGACCACCGGGTTAGAATTTTCGCGATACCTTGTCCCGAAAAAGTTTTAGTCACGGATGCAAAAAAGAAAAGAAAGTTCGTTTGCGGGTTCGCAAGTCTTGAATTTTTTCGTGCTTATAGAGGCTTTTGATTAGTGTGGTATTTGCTTATTGCTTTATGATGGATATCTTAAAAGCGCCCGCCAAAGCAAAAGACACATGTACCTGGGTTGACCAAAAGTCGCTATCTTAGAAGTTTTCTTGTATGAAACTTACAACATAATGTCTAAGCGAGTAGCGGAGTCCATGAACGACCCTGCTATCTTTAATTAATCCGCATTTATAGGAGTTTTTTTACCTTAGAAAGGCTTTAGTTTGTGTTATAAGTATACCTATCAATTAAAAAGAACCAAACAAAAAAAACAAAAAGTAGATCAGAGAAATGTGGCTTACGTTTGTCCGTTGAGACAGTAACAGTTGTGTTCACAGTTGGTTCCAAATGTACCCTTAGGACAGATCTAAAACGAAAGGATGATCTATTTGGACCTGATTGTGCGTTTCTTGTGAATCAGTTATAACTATTTTTGTTTAATTTATACCAGTTTCCTTTTCGTTAAAAATCGTGAATCGCCGAGAATTGCAATAGGAAAGCACCATCCTTGACAGACATACAAACTTTCATCGGAGATTGATGAAAAGGTTGAAGCCAAAGACTACAAAAGTACATTTTTTGATAGACGTAGAATCTGGCGATGCATGCAACGTCGACCTTCACCCATATTAATTATATCTTCTTACCTTCTTGCACGTTTCTCCAGTGAAGCCGGCTTTGCAGTTGCACTGGCCTGTGACGTGATGACAGTCCTTGGTGTTGGCCCAATCACACCTGCAGGGGGAATGGCAGTTGGACCCGTAGGTTCTCCCATCACACTTCTCCACACAGAGACTGCCCCTGTAGCCCGGCTGACACACACACTCCCCCTGCTCCTTGTGACACAACTCCAGGCCACACTGAGTAACAAGAGCCACTTAAGTTAAGAAGATTTATATAAGATAAAAAAGTAAATACGAAGATTTGTCCATTAAAAAAGCAAGAAAATTATTTTTTCAACAAGAAAAATTTAATTAATTTATAAAGGATTCGATTTTGAGATTTGTAAAGTATTCTAAAAGTATTCGACTTTCACAACAGCGCACGGGATCCTAAGACCTGCCTATGCCTGTGACTATGAGGAAAACGAATACCACTCGAGCTGTTTAGCTCTTCGCGGAGGACTGCTTTGATGGTTCTCCAAGAAGGGACCATGATGGTTAAGAATTACATACACTTTAACATAATTTGTAACTTTTTGCTTGAAAGACAAAATTAATTTTCCTATTTCGCCAACAATTCGCTTTTCTCTTTTTCAAAACTTCCGAGAAAAGCCATCTTTTTTTTGGTTCTGTGTGCATCGAAGTATTACTAACCACTTTCTTAATTAAGACCATTTATCCACGGGGGAAAGGACCAACACAAGAGCTGTACAGCTCATCACGGCGAACCGCTGTTGTGCCCCTGTTTAAGAACTATATGCAATTTTTTTTGGTTATTTTTCTTTTAGAGTCCTATACTTACATGTGCACATGTGAACTTGCAGTTGAATCCCCACGTGCCATCGGGACACTCTTGTTCACACGTGTCTCCCATCCACCCGAAGCCACACTCGCACTTCAACACTCCCCTCTCCAACACCAACTCACTACAGCACAATACAACCGCATATGGTGTGAGTTAAAAGAACAGGGGTTCGAACCCCACAGTTAGCTGGAATACTTTTTGCGACTGTTATTCTCATCGGTTAGAATTGAATAAGTTCCCCTTTTCGGTTTTCATTCAATCTTTTATGAAAATATCGGGCTTACCGTTTGCTCGTTTTTTGTTGAATTTTTATTATGCTCGACTTAAGCATTTCGGTTTTTGTTTTTTTCCTGCTTTAAATCTTTCCTATTTCTTTTTTCATAATTTTATGAAGATTTTGATTGAAAATTTGAAGATTCCTGTTTTTTTATCAAGAAAACTCAATCAATAAGTTGCCTTAATTGCTTTTTATTCAATGATATATTTGATCATTCACTCGCCCGTTGATACACTGCTTGTATTGACTGCAGTTGGGTCCATAGTATCCCACAGGGCACTCCTGTTCACACCTCTGTCCCATGTGAAGGTCATCGCACAGACACTGTCCTGTCCTGGGGTCACAGTCCACAGACGAGGACCAATCACAGTCGCAGTCTCGGCTTAATAAAAGTGGGCAAAATACAACATCAAATAGAGACAAGTTCGTTGGAGGGTGAGGTTTCAATTAAGATCGAAATGTTTGTCGACGCTTTTTTAAGCTGGCGAGCCAAAAATTGAGAAAGCGTGCCAAAAATCAGTTTCAAAAGGTTTTCACTAAAATGTTGCTTTATTTTTTCAACGAGCGCTACCCCCTTTCTCAAATCCGGCGGGCTACAGGAAGCGTCCTCTTTTCCCAGGCCCCCTTCCGCCGTCTACCCCGAAATCCGACAATCACACAGACGAGGACCAATCACAGTCGCAGTCTCGGCTTAATAAAAGTGGGCAAAATACAACATCAAATAGAGACAAGTTCGTTGGAGGGTGAGGTTTCAATTAAGATCGAAATGTTTGTCGACGCTTTTTTAAGCTGGCGAGCCAAAAATTGAGAAAGCGTGCCAAAAATCAGTTTCAAAAGGTTTTCACTAAAATGTTGCTTTATTTTTTCAACGAGCGCTACCCCCTTTCTCAAATCCGGCGGGCTACAGGAAGCGTCCTCTTTTCCCAGGCCCCCTTCCGCCGTCTACCCCGAAATCCGACAATTCCAGAGTTTCCTCTATCCTCGCCAAATATGTTCAGAATTCTCCAGGAACGGCTCTAGGATTTTCTCAGGTCAAAAAGGGCGTTTTAGACACTTTTAGGAAAACGCGCGCTCCCCTCAAAATTAGTATTTACTGGCGCCAAACATTTTGAAGTCCAATGAGCCAAAAATGGATATCTCAAAATAGTACAAAGGGAGACCCTTTGAGCCAGCAGGCTGAGGAAAGGAACGCCCCCCCCCCTCCCCCCCCCCCCCCATATACGCTACTGGAATTCTCTATAAAGTGAAAAACTACAAGACTTGATATAATCGCCATATCAAGACTTGTGCTTACTTGCAATTTTCTCCGTATTTTCTAGATTCGCAGTTCTCAGAACATCCGTAGCCCATGAATCCTGGAGGACAAGTGTCGGAACAATCTCTACCTGGAATGTTCACAAGTTTGATAAAAAATTTGTTGCTCAAAGTGATTTTATCCGCTGTGAAAAAAAATCTCCGCTGTAATTTAACGTCTTCAAATTGTGGAGCTCATTCGATTTTTTAAAAAATGTGGTAATGAACGTGTTTATTAAACTGAAGTATCATTAAACTAACCAGTGAATCCTTCTGGACAGTTACAAGTTCCATCCCGGTTGCATTCACCTCCGTTGCCGCAACTCGACGTCCGTGAACAGTTGAAACCAAATTGACAGTTCGGACATCGCACGCATTTATCACGAGCTAGCATGGAGTGCATCGGACATTCGCACTGTCCCGTGCGAATGTTGCACTCTATGCCTTCGGGACATTCGCACGCTTCACACATAGGACCCCACTCTTTGCCTTCAATGCACGGTTCACGACACCTAGTGCTGTTCTTGAATCCGTGCTCACAAATAAATTGGTTCAAGTTTTCATTGTTACACTTGGCAACGTTCTCAGTGCAACAATAAGCATCGGGTGCAATTTTACAATCCACTTCCTGGCAACATTTACCCGAGAATCCAGGGTAACATCGGCAATCACCGTTGCTGACGTCACACTTCCCTCCGTCCCCGCAACAACAGTCAAGCTCACACCTCTCACCCCAGTGGTAATTGTCGCACAACTCACACGTATGCGCTGTTGTACCCGGCTCGCATACACATTCGCCGGTCACGTGATCACATTCGGAGTTGGGCACACACGAACACTTGCGACTGCACTGGGGTCCATAGGAGCCATACGGGCAAGGGTGGTCACACCTATGACCATGCCAACCATCTCTGCACAAACAGTGTCCAGTTTCTGGGTCACAGCCTCTACTATTGTACCAATCACAATTACACGACAAGCAATAGTCACCGAAAGTTTTATCACTGCAGTCGTTTTCGCAATGAGTGCCGCCGAACCCGACAGCACAATGACATTCGCCAGTTTCAAGGTCGCAGCGGCCCCCGTTTTGACATCTACACGTGTACATGCATTGAGGTCCCCATCTGTCTTTATCGCAAGGCGTCGAGCAAGTCTCGCCCAGCCATCCGTCCATGCAATGACATTGACCTGTTACAGGGTCGCAAGAGTTGGCGTTTTCACACTTACAAGTACGACTGCAGTTTTTACCATACCGCATTCCATGACAATTCCTCTCGCAGCATTCCCCCTCCTTTCCTGGCGGACAGTCGCAGTATCCGGTTTTGGAGTCGCAAGTTCCGCTTTCGCAACAACATTCGTTTTCACAGTTATCTCCCCATAGCCCGACCGAGCATTCATGCTCGCAGCATTGACCGTGGGTTCCCGCAGGACACGCGCAGTATCCGGTGGCAACGTCGCAGTTCTCGCAACAGCAATCCTTCTGACAATTTTTACCGTATTTCCCTTTCGGGCAAGTTGAATGACATCTGTCGCCGTAAAGTCCAGGTGCGCAATCACAACCACCTGTGACTGGATCGCAAGTTGTCAAAGTGTTGAACAAATCACCGCAGTCGCAGTTATTCATGCAATTCGGACCATAAGTTCCTAAAGGACAAGCTGCGTCACAAGTTTTATTATACCATCCTGGGTCGCAACTACAGAACCCAGTTACATGGTTGCATAGATCTCCATTTTGACATGCGCATTTCGAAGAGCACTCGAAACCCCAAAGTCCTTGCTCACATGGTCTTTCACATGCCTCGCCTGTGAAACCCGGTTTGCAATGACATTTGCCTGTCTTTTTATCACACATGCAACCTTCTTCACTGTTCGATTCGACGCAGTTACAAGTTCCCACGCAGTTAGGTCCATATTTCCCAACATCACACGCTTTCTCGCAACAATCGCCGTGATGTCCCGGGGGACAGATGCAGGTCCCGTCGTGAGGGTTGCAAAATGATTCATCGGGACAACAACAGGTGTTGTTACAATTGGGACCCCACTTGAAAGCTGGACAGTACAACGAACAGAACTCTCCATGTTTACCGGGCGGACATTCGCAACTCCCGTCGACAGGCTCGCAAGGCACTCCAGGTCCACAATTGCAGATTTGAAGACAGTGATATCCGTAACGTCCTGAGTCCCGACAGCTGATCTCGCAACGTTCCCCAGTCCATCCAGGCTTGCACTGGCATTCACCCGTTGACTTGTGGCACCCAAGAGCGTTGTCTCCACAGTTACATCGTCCCGAACAGCCTGCTCCAAAAAATCCGAACGGGCATTCGGCTTCGCAATTGGGTCCCATGTATCCCGGAAGACAAATACACGTCCCTGTTTTTTGGTCAAACGAGAGTGAATTGACACAGTGTGACGTTTCGTGACACTCATAACCGTATGTTCCGTAGGGACAATCAATATGACAGCAATCACCTTGTTTTCCTGGCGGACAGTCGCATTTGCCTGTTTGCTTATCGCAAGGGGCGCCATTTTGACAGCAACAGCGGTTTATACAATTTGAACCCCAAGAGCCGTCGCGACATGCATGCTCGCAATATTCACCGTATGTTCCGGCGGGACAACTGCAAGTTCCGTCAAATGGGTTGCAATGTCCGCTCTCGCCGCAATTACAAGTTTGGGAACATCCTTCACCCCAGGTGTTTAGAGGACAAGGCTGATCGCATTTGAGCCCCGTCCATCCCGCTTGACACTCGCATTGCAGTGTTATCGGGTTGCATTTGGCTCCGTTTTGACAATCACATTGTTGTCTGCATCCAACACCGCCAAAACCCTCCGGACATTCAAGGTCACAGCACGGAGATTGTTTTCCAGCGGCGCATTCAGCATACCCGACTGATGGATCATAAGTATCATGGCAGAAATCGAACTCACAATTGGAACCATACTTCCCAGGCGGGCATTCTTGATCACAAAGAGCTCCGTAGTGTCCGGGATCACAATGACAAGCTCCAGTTTTGGGATCGCAGATTGAATTTCCCGAACACTGGCACTTCTGAAGACATCCGGCTCCAAAGTGACCTTCACTGCAAGGGAACTGACACATGTTTCCTTGGAACCCGGCTGGGCATGAACACAAGGCAGTTTGAGGATCGCAGACTCCTCCGTTGAAGCAATGACAAGCAAGTTCGCAGTTCAAACCGGCTCGACCTTTAAGAAAACTAAGAGTTATTGAATTGAGTTCAAGTCGTATTAAAACAGTGAGTCGGGCAACTTTTGAATGAGCAGACAGTATCATTTATAAATGACCGGAAATTTTTTTTTTATTATTTCGGCGAATAATTATCATAAAATCTAAAAATGGGTTCTTTTTTTAGTTTTGAATTTTTTCAGATTGTTTTTCGAAGAGCCAAATTGTTTTCCGAAGAGTTTAAATCAATTATCGTTACAAAAATGTTACCTTCGGGACAAGAATGCTCGCAATCCGGTCCGTAATATCCGGGCATACACATACAGCACCCATTCACATGGTGACAAGTCGAATTTCCTCGACAAGTACAGCGTTTTTTGCATCCAGGTCCAAAGAATCCCGGAGGACAAATTGATTCGCATTTAGATCCAATATGTCCAGGAGCACAGTGACAAGTTCCGTCTTCGGGTTCACAGTCACGACTGTTTCCAGGCACGCACTGGCATTCAAAAGCGCAATCTTTTCCGTACTTTAACATATGGCATTGCTGGCTACATCGCTTGCCCATGTATCCTTCATAACAGTCGCATTTTGTGACGTTTGAGAGTTGAAGTTCGTGACATTCTCCGTTTTCGCACGTGTTGCACGTGACTTCTGTGAAGCGCTCGTCTATCTGGCAGAAGTCGCCGGAGAATCCAGTTGGACAGTGGCATTCGCCGTTCACTTTGTTGCAGGTGCCTCCGTTGAGACAGTTTAAACACCTTAATGATACAAGTTATCATCTTTTTTTTTGCTGAACTTAAAACGTTCGCTCAGCCCCCAATTGTAATGAAAGTGAGTTTCACTACCATTAAAGCCACCTAAGCCTAGAAAATAAATTTAAAAATTAGTCCCCCTACTCTGCGATTTTGCCATAAAGTGTGTTTTAGTTTCCTAGGTGTCCAAAAATTCCTTCACATAGCATAATTTTTGAAGAAATACACTTATTGTTCCGACCACGAAGGAACGTTACATTCAGGCAAACGGTGACTGATATAAGATTTTCTCGGAACAGGGGAGCAGATTTTCAAAAAATGTTCAAAACTTTTCTGACGTATTTTGCAGCTCAACTAAGAAGACTTTCCCGAGCACTTCTAAAACACTATAAAAACATAATTTTGCTAAAACTTTTGAAAAATGAACGGAACTTGAGCTTTGAAAATTTAGTTATAATTCATTTCTAAAAGAAGTTTTTGAAAACTTTGAGCGTCGAAATTTTTAAGTTTGCTCTATGAGGAAATTTACCGTCAACTCTACCTACTTTACAATTACTATTAAAATTTTAGACTTTCGTTTTGATCCTCTCTTCACACTACGAACAAAAAACGACGCAATTTGGATTTTTTTGAATTTTATTCGGAACTTCCTGTGGCACTTCGTCAGCAACCGGCTATCCTTTAGTTCCAACCATTGAAAAAGAAGTGGAGTTTTGGTTATCAACGCAAAATCAGATACCACAATCAATGGTTTCTCGGCACCGCTTGCCGCAATTGCCCTGGAACTGCCAGCCTGTTGTCAACTAATATACAATCATCCACCACGGACAGCTGGTGCCAAAGGGGATTTGTATATGGCCCCATTAAATCAAAGCTAATACGATCGTTTCTTTCGATTACTCGCCGAAGTCTATCCGTCCAGGGATCCTCGTAAATTAACTCTGCTAACAGGCTTCTATCGAACAACTTGGTGAGGTTGTCGAGACTCTCTACTCTATTCGTCTCAGCTTGACAAAATTCGTTTTTCCTGGAGTTGTGAGATATCTTTTTCTTCCCGATCATACTGGGCTCTCCGACGGACTTTCAGCAGTAAGGTCCACTTCCACTATCGGTGGTTTGTCCCCTTGCGAATTTGTGTCAAAGTCCTGTTCTCGTTTTCCATTATTTTCCATTACTGTCCGCGCTTCGAGTTTGAGCATGCTTTTTGGGTTATCGGATTTCTCCGCCCCATGGGATCCCAATATGAAATTATAAACGAGATCCAGTATTTACTCATTAAAAAAATTTTAGTCGTATTCCGAACAACATTAAAAAAATGAAGAAATTTGTCCCAGTGTAGTGAAAACAGTGAACACATTTTTCTGAACTTTATTGTAGCCTCGAGCAAGTAAAGTGGTCGGGTAGGACAACCTAGTAATGTTTTCCATATGAAAGTTGGTAAATAAGGCTAATTAAAATTAAATCTATGAAATGAAAAATATGTTTTGGAAGCTCATTTAGCACGCATTTGGCAATAAGTTTTTTCAAAAAATACAAGTGTAACAAAAAAGAAAACTATTTTTGATTGTTTGTTTGTGATTTTTTTTTCAAAAACAATTTTTCTAGATTATTCTCAATGAAAAAAAAATCTCTTTTTCTATAGATATTTTATTAATACGAACGAAATATTCTCTGCTACTTGAACAGCAGCCGATTATCCTTATACTTGCTTTAAATTTTTTACAATTTTTTTTAGTCCAGTCTAGAGTGAGTAAGGTACAAATTACGTTTTCTAGGAAGGTTTTCAACTAGTTTTTTTATATTTCAAAATTGTAGCTTGATTATGTTTGGATAAAGGCAGAATTCATTCTATGAATTATACTTTTACCCAACCATATTTTAGCTACCACCATGATCAACGTCCTGGTTTGAGACACATTGAAAATTAGCGGAAAAAGTGAAAAACACAGAGATCGCCATTGATGAGTTATCGATGGACATTACCACAATAGCAAAAATTTTTAATATATTATCGCTAATTTGCCCAGTTTTCAGCGATGAAACAGCGATGAAAATCCTATCAACATGAGCAAATACAGTGCACTACCGGGGTTCGACCCCACAACCTTCAGCGTAGTAGACATGTATGGTACCTTGCGCCACAAGTTTTAGCTGTCAAAAAATTAAAGGGCTTATAATCTCACACTCTCATTTGAAAGCTACTAAAACGAGGTAAAATTTCTTAAGTTTTAGCGCTGATTTTCTACAGAATCATTACTGAAATAGCTCTAGAATATCGCAGGTTTAGCTGTGCAAAAAACTCTGATTTATAATCAAATCAGCTCTGGAAAATAGCGATCACTGGGATACAACAGAAAAAGCGATAATTAACGGTGGGACTTCAGCCCTGGTTTTTTTTGGTTTGTTAAAAAAATTGGTTAGAATAGAGTCTTTATAATGATTTGGGTGTGCTCAAAAAATGAATTTTGACGACCTAAAAATTTGCTCCACAAAAATTTTGAACATTATTTGAAAATCTACGCCCCTCCCCCCCCCCCTTCCTCAAGAAAACCCTACATCCGCCCCTGATTCATACAGCATTTTTCTGGCATTTTGTACCTGTTCTGGCACTTGACTCCCCACAGTCCATCTGGACACAGATCTGCACATGTGGGTCCAGTGTATCCTGGTCTGGTGCAGTCGCAGATGCCAGTGACTGGGTTGCAGAGATCCCCGTGGGAACAGTCGCAGAACTTGTCACAGTGTCTCCCATATCTCCCCACTGGACAGTCAGTCTCGCAGGATAAACCCATTCTGCCTAAAAAACACAAAAAATGTGTTAGAGTAGGAGTTATGCATTCAATGTAGAAGTCAATATAGTTTTTTTCTTTCTCTACCACGTCACTGTGTCATTGTAGGACGACCAAATTAATTTTTTGTACAAACAGTTTTTTTTTGTCTGCTTGCTTGCAATGCTATGTTTGTGCGTTATCGGAAGTAGTGCGAAGCTTCCACTTGGCCTGTGAGTAAAAACTTGTTTTCTACTTTACCTGGAGCACAGTCACAGGCACCGCTTCTCGGATCACACGACACTCCTTCGGGACAACTACACTTTAGCTCACAGTCCACTCCATATAACCCCGAAGGACAAGCCAGTTCACAACGCTCTCCCGTATACCCAGGTGCACATAGACACTTTCCACTCGCCAAGTCACAAAATCCATCATTTTCACAATTGCACGACACGCTAATTTTATCACGTGCATTGCATCGTCCTGTTTTCGAATCGCAGCCAAACTCGCAGGAATAACAAGTGTTAATGCAGTTTGGCCCATAGTTGTATTTGTCGCAGTCTTCGTCGCAATGGATCCCTTGGGACCCAGCGTAGCAATAACAGTCGCCGTTGAACCGGTTGCAGAGTCCGTTGTTACAGCGACATGTTTCTTGGCAGTTTTGACCCCAGTTGTCCTTGTTGCAGGGTAAGTCGCATTTGCGACCGAGCCAGCCGGGATGACAGAGACATTTTCCCGTCTCGGCGTCACAAACACCTATGACAGAAAACTTTATTTTAACAACCTATATTAAGAACAGTGTTAAATTTTCCATTTAACTGATTTGATATGTTTTTTTTTGGTACAAAGTTCAGTTGCAATTCGCAGATAATTCAAAGTTACCTGAATCGTCAAATTATTCGCCAACTATCAGAAAATTTAGTTCGATTTATTTTGTCTCTTCATGTTTTTTTTGCAACGACCTTTACTAAGTGTTCGAAATAGTCTCTTCGAAAACAAATTAATTCGATTTTTTTTCTATTTTACTCGTTGTCGTTGGGTTTCAAAAGTAGTGCATGTTTTAACCCACCTTTATTCATGCATTCACACTGCAAAGCACAATTCGGACCATAAGTGCCCTCGTTGCACCGTTTCTCACAAAGGTTCCCAAAATATCCAGCAGGACATTGGCATGTTCCGTCAACAGGGGAGCACTCGCCTCCATTCTTACAAGGACATGGGGCATTGCAGTTGGGATCACTTCTTTCGAAGTCCTCGAGAGAACACTGTCGTTCGCAGAAGTGTCCGGTGTACCCCCGGGGGCATTGGCAGTCCAAAAAGAGTCCTCGACATTTGCCTCCGTTCAGACACGGACACCTGAAAAGCAAGGACATCAGAGATCCCTGTAAACTGTATGTATAAATTACGCAGTACTTCAGATCTCTACGTTATATTTCTGTTTTTTAATCGCGTTTTTAATTAAATATACCAACTGAAAAAGTGTTTCGTTTTCTTCTAGTAACTATTGAATTCTTGAATTCGCATTCACCTCAAAAGAGAACAAAAAGATCAAAGTTCTGCATACCTCTGTGAACAGCCATGTCCGTAGTATCCCTGTTCACATGGTGTGTCACACTTGGGTCCAGTGAAGCCTATCACCCCCTCGCAGTTACACCTGCCAGTCTGGAAGTGACAGGTGGCCCCGTTCTTACAGTCACACCTGGACTGACACTGGAGGCCAAAGGATCCTGGTGCACAACGCTCCTCACACACGGACCCTGTGGAAAAGTTATCCATACATTTCACTTTTGGTGATATATTATTTGGAGATATACAGGGGCGGATCTAGTATTTTCTCTAGGGGGGGGGGGGTAGATTTTCAAAAAAAAACTTCGAAAATTTTGTCGATCTTTTTTTAGGTCGACCCAATTGATTTTCCGAGCTCTCCCAAAGCAGTACAAAGACCCTGTTTTGGCCAAAATTTTTGCAAAATTTCGAAATTTCGAAAAAAAACAGGCCGAAAAATATTTCAAAACGGTGCAAAGGGGGGACCCTATATAATAATTGATTCTGCTTTTTGCTTCGTTTCCTGTTTTACCTGAAAAGAGACTTCTCTAACTGTTGCAAAAAGGGGAAGAATGCAAAAGGTGGGAAATTCGTTCCTTGGAACAAAATAATATATGCTTAACCGTTGAATTAGCTCTTCATAGGGGTAGCAATTTGTTAGTATGTTTCATTTGTGTGGGGGGGGGGGGGGGATAGTTGAAGATATCCGTTAAATGTAACTGTTAAATTTAACATTACAAAGTGTCTAAAAGTTAGTGACAAAAACACGAAATAAGATGACAGAAAAACACAGTAAAATCTCTCATTTTTAAGTATCTAAAACAATCTGGAGAAAAATTATTTAAGATTTTCAGCAGTCGGATGAAAATATTACTTTTTACTGGGGCAGATTTAGGGAAAGGGGGGGGGGGGGTTGGGTTGGGGTTTTGTACTATTTTGAAATATCCATTTTTGGTGACGGACCCTAAAAATTTTCTAAAGGCGTCTTTGGGGCCAATGTATACTAATTTTGAGGGGGAGCGCGATCCGAAAAAACACGATTTTCTGGTCAACATTTTCCAAAAGGTGCCTAAAAACGCCTCTATTGGCCTGTTTTTTTTGCAAAATTTTGCCTCCGGCGCAAGAAATTTGGCCAAAACAGGGAATTTTTCGTGCTTTTGGGAAGCAGCTCGAAAAATCAATTTAGTCGACCTAAAAGAAAAAAAAGGTCGACAAAATTTTTGAAAATCCGCCCCCCCCCCCCCCCCCCCCCCCCCCCTCGAGAAAATCCTAGATCCCCCCTGATTTCTTGTAAAAACAAGAATTGCCCTCGAACAAAACTCGACTAATGAAACGTGTGATGCTGACTGACCTTTATATCCCGCAGGACATACACATCGTCCATTCTCATCGCAACTGCCCCCATTTTTGCACTGGCAGCTGTGGCCACAGTAGGGGCCATACATGCCATTCATGCACTTGTGCTCACACCTAGAAGAAGAGGGCTTATATGTTGTCAAGAATAAACAAGGGTAGCCGTTTGCTATGCATGACGCACAGAGTTTTCCAAGCACACTCATTTTAAAAATTTTCATAAAATGATGTAAAAATTTTAGCACTTAAAATAATTTCGTTTGAAAGGCAAAAACTTTCAGACCAATTTTCCTCGACACTAAAACAACTTTTTGTTGTTTTTATATCCCAATTTATGATTAATAGGGCTTTATCACGTTGGGCTTTGAAGATATCAAAGTTGCATCGAAAAAATTGTACAACGGACCCCATGCCATTGTTGAAAAAATTAGTGAAAAAAATTAAAAACAACAAAAACTAAGGGTGAAAATGAACGGGAATTTCTTTAAAGCCAGTTTTCTAATACGTTTTCTAATGAGGTTTCTTCGAAATGCTGAAAATGTTTCAAAAAAGTCCTCTTTTTGATGTTTTAAGCCATTCTTCAAGAAAACGTCAGCAGAGAAGTTCAACGAGACCTTCTACATCATGCTGCTAATTAAAACTGCAAAAGCATAGAATCAAAGCTTAACTTGATTTGGTCATACAGTTATTACCATACAGCATAATTTAATTGAGTCATTACAAATATAAAAAGAATTCAACTTGAAATTTAGTACACATTTTTCAAGTTGGGTTGGGTTGACTTTGGACAAAATTTCATTTTAAAAAACTTGCTTGGAAAGTTAGAAGAATTGTTACGGTGCAATTTATTTAACAAAAGTCAGGCCCAAAGTGACAATCCAAAAACGGATCAGTTTTAGTTTTCTTGAAGTAATCAAAATTACTAGCTCAATTGCTAACAAAACTATACTATTGTGAACCTATACTATGTAGCCTCAAACTTAACAAAATAACCATTTTATATTAAATGCATTTTTTTTGTTAAAAATTATTATTTTGATCGCCAAAAAAACCACCCCAAGCATAAAATTTCCGATTTCTACAAAATTCCGAACTATAACATCAATTTGTACTTTAACTAGTGTGCGGGGGAATTTTTTCAGCAAAATAAACGTGCAAAATATCAATGATTTACACCCATTTTTCTGAAGTTTTATCAGTTTTTAGGGTCTTATGCACTAAACGGCCAAAAATCAGTATTTTGTCATCTTTCTTGAACTAATTGGCAATTTATACACTCAAGTTCAAATAACATGGTTCTGCATTTCAATTGAAACTTCAAGCAGATAAAATTGTTGGCCGACATGACCAAAACTAGTAAATTTTTAATCTGCTGAAGCCATTTTTTTGAGTTTTTGTTGGCTGAAAAAAAACGTACCATATGAAAATATTTTTATTATTAACAAAGTTTATTTTTTTGGTTTTTTCGGCTAATAATTGTAATTTTCGGCTAATAGTTTTTATCTTCTGGAAGTTTTGATTGAATTGCCCGAACATGTGGGTTGAATTTGATTGGCTATTATTAGCCAATCGGATTTGACTGCATAAATTTTAGCTCAAGATCTAAAGTATTGATTTCGGTACGTTTTGTGCAAAAAACCCAGTTTTTATTTTTTTTTAAAGATGAATCATTAGGAGAACTTGGAACATTCGGGCAATTTGATTATTCAAGATTTTGCCCCGATAAGAGCAGTTTCGTTATGTTTATTGCGCATAGCATAGTCGATTCAAACGAACTATTTCGGCAAATATTTTGATGTTTTACCATAGATGTTAACTTGCTCAAAAATCAATTCAATGTCTTCAAGAAATAATTCGTACCTGCTTCCATAGAAGCCATTAGGACAAGTACATGTACCCGTAACTGGATTACAGAACCCCCCATTGACACATTCGCATTCACTGCCACAGTTGAGTCCGAAGTGGGTGGGGTGGCAGTGCTCCTCACAGAGGGTGCCGTTGTAGCCCGGCTGGCAGATACAAATGCTGCCGGAGGGGGAGAAGGGGTCACAGAAACCTCCGTTCTTGCACATGCAGAATGTGCTGCAGTCTACATAACAATACGAAGAGACATGTTGAGAAGCAGGGGCGGATTTAGGGGGGAGGGGGTTGGGAGAGGTTACGCATCCTCCTCCCCTCCTCGCCACTCAAAGATTCTTTCCTGTTCTAAAGAACATAAAATTATTTGAGGGCCGTTTTTAGCCAATACTGGCCGAAACTTTTTTGGCCTGTTTTTACCAAAATTTTCCTGCAGCGCAGAATTTTTTGTCAACATAGGGTGTCTCTGGTGTTTTAAAAGAGCTCGCAAACGGAGCTCTTTTTAAAATTCCAACCCTCCCAAACTCCCCGCCAAAAAAATCCTAGATCTGCCCCTGATGAGAAGGGTAAAGTTGTGCGAATTGATCTAGGTAGCGTTTTAAAAAAAAATTGTCATTGGTATTTTTTCTAAATTCTAGTCTTTAGCACTTTTTTTCTCTAAAAACTAAAAAAATCGATCTAAGTTTTTCCCAAGGGAAGGAGCGGTGTTTCAAAAAAAAATTTTATGTTCTTGTTTTTTTTGGCTTTCTGTTTAGAGATGTTCCAATCTCCCATCAGTAACTACAGGATTAAATATCTCTTGAATTCTCCTTTTTTTGTGTCGTGGGAGTAGACGAAACCAGTATCTATGATTCGACCCCCTGCAGACCCAGAGGGTCCCCTTTTGTACTATTTCGAGACATCCATTTTGGCTGAATGACTTTAAAATTTTTCTAAAGGCGCCTTCGGAGCTAATGCATACTAGTTTTAGGGGAGAGAGCGCGCCAAAAAAAAGCGATTTTTTATCAAAATTGTTCAAAAAATGCTTAAAAATGCAATTTTTGGCCTTTTTTCAAATTTTTGACTGCGGCACAGAAACTTGGCCAGAAAATGGTCTTTATAGTGCTTTGAGAGAGCTCGGAAAAACAATTTAATCAACCTAAAAAAACCTAAATTTCGTAAATTTTTTTGAAACTCCGACCCCCCCTCGAGTTTGTCTGGGAGATTATTGCCATTTCATTTGTAGGTTTTGTCAGATGAAAAATCTTTAGTATTTTGTTTTCAGAAACAAACGGATGAAGCATAAAATAATACTTCAATAAATTTAAATAATGGAAAAACTTCTACCACAGTATTTCCTTATGATGGTCACGCAACTAAATAGTATGGGAGAAAGTGCTTATAATGCCATGTTAATAAAATTTTATTTTCTATAGAATTGAATTACACGCATTTTTCCATATTATGGAATTATGTGACAAACATTTTGTCAACCCTTTTGTTTATTTTTTTAGAGTGTGGGTGGGGGAATTCATTTTTTGTTACCTTCGCCATAATAGTCTTTTGGACAACTCTTCTCACACTTGTGTCCCGTGAATCCACTGAGACACGCACACTGTCCAGTCCTACTGTCACATGTATTGTGCCCACTGTGTACACAGTCACACCTCCTCGAACAATTCTCCCCCCACAGTCCATTGGGACAGGGGAGGGAGCAGGCGGGTCCATAGGAACCCAGACACTTCTGGTCTGACTCGTCGTCCTTATAATGCAAAAAAAAATATTCTAGTTTTTTTTTTCAAAAATTTTCTTGTGTTCGAAGAATTCAAAAGGTCATCGCTGTTGAAGAACATCTACGCTTCCCCCCAAAAATTGTGAACTACTAGCACACGACTCCTAAGTAGGGAAGAAGATAATCTAATTCGGCTTAAGGAAAACCTCTTCCTCAAAGTTAGTCAATATTAACACAAAAATTATTCATTTTCATGAGATCTAAGATTTTCATAAATTAGACGGCTGAAAGTTCTTTTTATTTTTAATCGTCTTTTGCAGAGCTCCAACCCCCCCCCCCCATCCTTGTAAATACTTAAAAATAACCTCGCAAGTGCATGTCTCGTGGTCGCAATCATTTTCACACTCCTCGGGACACCTGAGGGAACAGTCTGGTCCACACTGTCTCACACTGCAAAGGGAGGAACAGTCTGCGCCAGAGTAGCCAGGGAAACAGCCACACACTCCCACTGAGCCAGCTAGCAACTCGCCATGCACACACGATTGCTACGCAAATTTAAACTGTTTAGGAACTCAAAAAAATGACAATTTGTACTGGCTAAGAAGTTTTGGTAGCAGCGTGACATTTGACACGATTTTGAAAGGCTGGACATAAATCGTTGACCTCAACACTTGAGAAAAAATCTGCAATAATGAAATGAATGCATAGTCAACTATCAACTATCTTATTGGTCTGAATCTGTAAATTTGGACCGGTATTTCTTGAAATCTAGTCACAGTGTTTTGGTTTCTTTTGTAATCCGAATTATAACTGAAAATGATGCAAAACGACACCTCGTTTTTCTACTACAGCGAACCGATTGGGTACCGGTGAAAAAGTACCGCTGGAAACCAATGAAAAAACTGGATTCTCAATGATAAATATATGTAATCTGCACTTAAATGTTGCAAAATTGAGAATTTTTTAAAGGACAAGGAAATTATTAGGCAGTCATAAATCGTACTTTTGGTATGACACCAGATGAAGGTCCACGTGGACTCCTCTGAGTACATCTGGGTCCATACCACCCCTCCACACACATACACTGTCCAGTTGATGAGTCACAGAGCTGTTCAGAGACAGAGTGGGTGGAACAGTCACACCTGTAGGCACACCCCACACCCCAAGATCCAAGGGGACATCCGTCAGCACACTGAGGACCGAAGAAACCTGGAATGAATTTGACAGTTGTCGTCCATAACAAAAAATTACAATTACACCATTCTTCGAATTAACCAATATTTGGGGAGCGGAGATGAAGCGATTAAGTCTTGTCCGGCTTTCATTTGAAAAAGTGGAGCAACCCGAGGCCCACCATGATCTGGGCTTGTTTTTCGAAAGTTGGGCAAAAATTTTCACTACACAAAAACAAAAAACTGAATGCTGGTTTCTTTCGAACGTGGATAAACAGTATCAACTTAATATTAACGAGTCATGTTTGAATCAGCCAGCCAGTTAAAATTGCAACTCAAATTTAAAAAAAAAAATTGCTAGCTGGTAATGATAGAGCGGTGATTTCTGAGAGGCAATGAGCAAATCCTGAAATTTAAATTTGATGTAACTGATTGGGCATTGAATGTTTTTTGAAACCATAGCCAAAAAACGACCAGGACGCAATCTAATCAAAATATTCAAATACAAATTCGAGAAACCAAGTTTGTCCTGTTAACCTCCCAAAACTTTTTGTAGAAAATAAATGGCGAATGGCGCCCTGTATTACCATAATGATTTAGGTCTGTCAAATAATAAATAATAAAATGTGATGAGATAAAAAGTATTTAACAATCCTCAACTAGGCCATGGGTGACTTCTGTTCAAATGGTAAACCCAGTAAGTTATAAATCATAACTAAAAAACAACAACATTAGCCTCCAACCTGGTTGGCAGTAGCAGGATCCATCTACTGGCGAGCATTCTGCCCCATTCTCACACTGGCACTGGTGTCTGCATTGGGGCCCGAATGTTCCGAGTGGACATGTGAACTGACAGTGGTCTCCGTGGAACCCAGGAGGACATGAACACTCTCCAGTCACTGTGTCACAATGGCCGTTGTTCTCACACGTACATCTTGCTAAAATTATTATAATTAATAATTATTAGTATGATCATAATTTTTAATATATAAGGTTTCAAAAAATGAAAATTTTTTGATAATTTCTTCTTTTTGGCTAATTAAACCATAGCTTATAGAGCTTAGGGTAGATGGTTATTGCTTTTGGCTAATTTAAAAGTGTGTTTAGTATCGTTGGAAATAATATCGCTGATTATCTTTATTAGGAAGCACTTTTAAATATCTTGAAAATGGTGCAATTAAAACAACTATTTTTAACGTTTGGCATCCTAACGTTGGTTTTTTAACTAGACATTCAGATATTCTCTTTTCTCTGCCAAAATTAGAAAACTAAACGTCATAATAATTAGTCACTACCTTGGCAGTCTATTCCGTAGAATCCATTTGAGCATGGAATCTCACAGTGCTGTCCAGTGTATCCCGGGGCACAGATGCAGGACCCATCGAAGGGAGAACAGGCCGCCCCATTGTAACACTCACACCTGTGCATTAAAAATTTAATCAGTACAATTAGCCGATTAAAGTCAAAGGTAGTTTAAGAACCGGGCGATGATTTATCTGTCAAATGACAATGATGATGTTTTACCTTCTTTACAAAGTTCAATAGTTTCTTTTGCGATTTAGAGCGTGCATTTGTTGGCACAGAACTGTTACATAAACCTATTGTCGCGTTTACTGAGTTGCATAATTTATCAGGAAAAAAGAACAAAGCGTACCCAGATTTTAATAATGTATTTGTACTTTTTGACAAAAACAGGGTCAGTGTTGAGATATTTGAAAAAGTGGCCCTAATTAATAAATTCTTCTCCGACTGCGGGGATCGATCCTTCGGTCTCTTGTCTGAAAGTCTGAAAATGTAGCGAGTAATATACCTAGCAGTGCAATCTCCGTAGCGTCCACTGGGACAGTGGTCATGACAGAGTGAGCCATAGAAGCCCCTGTTGCACACACACCGTCCACTCATGTCTTCGCACACTCCATGCACACAACTCGCACACACGCTCCCGCAATCTGGGCCTAAATTATACAAACTTTTTACTCAAAACCTTACATATACCAGCAGGGAATGTGTATATTTAGGTCGATACTCTAGAAAAAAGCAGTGCAAAGAGTTGTTGGCACTTAAAAACACGCGTATTTTTTCAAAATATCCAAAACAGGCTCAAAACGCCTGGTTTTCTCAAAAAATAGATGTAAATAAAAAGCAAAGAAATTGGGCAAACAGTGTATTCTAGGCGTTTCTAAGGAGTTAAATCAGCATGGTCCAAAAAAGATGGTTTTATGTAGACCATGGTAAGAACTTTTTTTGGTTTATAAACGACGATCGAGTCGATGAAGAGGACGACCATTTTCAGTGCAATATTTCAATCAGTGCAGTTTTTTGGAAAATGATCACATAGAAATCTAATTTTGAGTCAATACATTTTTTGAAACTTAAAAAAAGACCGTTTTGGTTTCAATTTTACGCTTAATTGCGGCGTTTTTCTCTGACCTGCTTGTCCTGGTGGACACATCCTCTCACACCTTTCTCCCCCGTATCCATACAAACAAACACAAGTCCCATCAGTAGCATCACACACTCCCCCATTCTCACACTGACATCTGTTCTTACAAAAGGGAGCCCCCCAGTAGCCTTCTGGACAGACTCTCTGGTGGCAGAACTGGCCTGTGAAGCCAGCGGGACACTGGCACGATCCGTCTATGTTGTTGCACGTCTAAATCAGACGTTTTAGTGGCTCTTTTTCTTTGTATCTTTTTTGAATAGTTTTTAATATCTTTTAAAATGAATAGTGTTTTATGCAGAAGTAGAGCTGTGTTGAAATGTCAGACGAGCTGTGCACTAGTTCTACTAACAATTTCCACATCGTGGTACTAGGTCAAAAAATGCCATGCCAGGGTCTTTTTTGAACGCATTACTACCAGATTTCAAATTTAGAAATTTAATTAGACTTGAGAATTTTAAGTATTGTTGAGAAAGGATTTTGTCGAGAATTCGGCTGGCCATTAAGTTATTTGATGTGTTGGTGCGCAGGATCAAACAAAAGCGATAGATTAATTGCTAAAATAAATGGTTTGTGATTTTACTATAATGTTTCAGATCTACTTACAATGGATGAGATATTGAGATAGTTGAGATGGTCGCACTGACATCTGTAATGACACCCTGGACCCCAAGACCCTTCGGGACAACTGTCTTCACACCTTACCCCTGTGTACCCATAAGGACACACACACCTCCCCTTCGAACACTGGCCCCCATTTTGACAATCACAGATGTCGCAGTCTCCTCGGATCTGACAGTCTGCGACGTCGGAGGATACGACTCCGACAGGTCCTCGGTCGCAACTGGGTCCGAAATATCCCGAGTCGCAGCGACATTCGCCGACGCCCACACATTTTCCATGTACACAGCCTTGGTTGCAGAGAGCTGTAAAAATTCACCTAATTTTCAAGTTTACTAAACCAGAGAATTAGTAGGCGCGGGATAAAATGTTAGTGAAAATGGAAAATATCGTGTTGTTGTGAAATTGCTAACCGCACAGTTTTTCCGGAGCAGATAATATCAACAACATATGCTATGTTTTTTATTATTGCAAACATAAAAAAATCGTGATTTTTGTTGATTTTGATTTTTGATTTTAAAAAACAAATAAATTAAATATAAAGAGAATATTTATGAACTTACGAATAGGAAGGGATCTTTTGAAGTCGTATTCGTACCCGGGACATCGCTCGTCCCTAAAAGACAAAACGCTTTTAAAAAACGGTTCATATTTTCTCTGACCAAATTTGTCTCCATAGAAAAATATTTATCAAATTTCACACGTTGCTTTCAGTGTGGACATCTCTAGTTGAAATAACATGCTTAACATACCAAGAAGCAGTTACACATTCATTTTCATGAGCACTTCGGCTAACTGCACTGGTTGTGTTCTCATCCGCGCTTCTCTTCTGTACATTCTCGAAATGTAGGATTGCTTGGCTAACTCCAACCGATTTACCGTCTTGGTCTTCGAATGCGACGGAAGAATTGAACAGGAAAATTAGCAGAATCACCGGTAGGACGAAAACATGAAGGCGACAAAAGGAGAAGATCTAATTATACAAAAACAATCGATAGGGTCGTGCTAAGAACTGAAAACTGTAAATAACTAATTTTGGACCAATGGAACAAGTTAACACCCTTCGAATTGTTACGAATTGCAGCTTGTTACGAATTGTCGCCTCGCGAAATTTGATATTCCATTTTTGCTGTTTTCTGGGCCGTTTGACCGACAAAACAGCTTGCCTTCCAGTTTTTGTTTTCCAGTTTTGTTTTCCTATTTTTTGTTTTCCAGTCGGGGCGTTACAAGACAATTTATTGGTCAAATCGCACTTTGAAAACAGTGGTAAAAATATTATCCATTTTATTTTAAAATTTTTGCATCAAGTTATGGTTTTTAACTGACAGTAAAATAAGTCTCACCTCCATTTCCAGCTGAATTAATTCTAGAAATTCAAAAATAAATTAATTAAGCTTCTCGATTTTATTTTTAAAGCTGATTCAAATAAAAACACGATGATCAGAATCAAAGCCGATCATCATTTACTATAAAGTGAACAAATGACGATCAAATGCTTATTTGTTCATACTTATCCCAACTTTCAATAAATCACTTTCTTTCTCATACAATCTGTGATTGGACGCAAACAAGCCCAGACACTTGAAGACCATGAGATGAGAACTAAAACCCATTATGACATCATTGACCTGAATTTCCACAGTCTTAGTAGGGAAGAAGACGATAAAAGGACAAAAATAATAATGGAGCTAGATTGAGTTATGTGACGTAATTTGTACTAAATTGTAATAATGAAGACGATGACCCGAAAAGATTTCAGATCTATCCGACATTTTTCAGACAACAGGTGTGTTTATTGTGCCGAAGTTTGTCCGAAACAGAAAAGAGCAACCTGAACTAATCAGAAAAGCACGCGGGTGCAATTTGGCTCCACAAAACTCATATTCTCGCTGAAGCTGAAATCGAGCAACCCGGAAAACTCTTCTCAAACGTGACGGACAAAAATAAATATTCGTTTCGGAAAACAGAATTCGACATCCTTCCCATAACGATGAGCGTTGTGAAGTTATGCTTGCAGACGCGGTTGTTATTTCTAGGACTTTAAATTGTCAAAAAACAATCGCCAGAAAACGTGATTTTTGGCCTGATCACTCGAGTTCATGATGTCTCAGTGTCGAGAAAATATGTTTGAAGCTTTTGACTTTTAGTCTATTGTTGAGCAACATGTTAAGCTTTTAGTCTTCAAACATTGATTCAAACTTGATACCTTTATAAACTTATCCACTTTCTACTGAACGGAAGTGAAAAAAGCCAATACAGTGCTGATTTAAATTATCCGGATAAAATGAAAAAATATATATATTTGAAATTTAAAAAGCGTTTTTCTATAATTGGGTTGAATTTAGACAAAAAATGATGAAGATCAATCTTGCTTAAAATGTTAACAAAACTAAATGGGTGCAATTTGTTTTGCAAAACTCTGGCCCAAAAATTCATCCCAAAATTCACCCCTTTTATGCCTTTTAAACTCCTAAAGTGGGCGCAAAAGGCATAAAACAAGTTTTAATAAAAAAAATTACGTTTTTTGGCTATCACACGAAATTAAATGATCGTTTTTGGGGTAAATTTTAGGGCCCAAATTTCAACAAGACTGCTCGTATCAGGGCGAAGCCCTGAATGTTCCGATTGCCTTTTAAGGTTTATGGAGCAGCAGCAATAACATAAAAAAATTAATTGAAATAGAATAAAATGAAACTTTTTTTTCTAAAATTTGAAATTTTTTATAAAAATCATCCCCCCACACGCCATAAAAAGTACAAAAGGATAGATTTAGTTCCTTGTAACAAATCAATTATGGCACATAAGCTTCGTTCAACCAATTTGGAACGACTTCTAAGACGGATTAAATCTCCGCTTACGCGTTAATAGCTCGAATTATATCGCGCGTTAATTGTCCCAAATTGGTCAAAATGGCCAAAATGGCAACCTTTAAACCCTCATAATTTTACGAAAAATGATGACAGGTGAAGTATCTTTTCAAATTTAAGCTCAGGACAACAATAACTTTTGAATGATATAAAAAAATTCCGTCAAAAATGGCTAGTTAAAAAGTCGAAATTTGTCTGAAGAAAAAAAACCCACCCCGAGCACAAATATTCCGTTACTTTCGTATCAAAAGTCGGAACAAAAACCAAATAATGCACCATATTAGTTCTGTTAACATTTTAAGCAAGATTGATCGTCATCATTTTTGTCTAAAGTAAAGCTAATTAAAAAAAAACGCGTTTTAAGTTTCAAGGTTTATTTTGTCCTGATAAGTTACATAAACTCTGAAACTGAAGCATCAATTGCCGAAAGAGAACACTACACAAGGTGGCGCCCTCACGATTGAAGGACCGAATGCTTGAAACTATTTTTACCTTACTTGCAGCCAATCAGAATTGAGTATTCAAAATCTCAAAGTAAATCGCAAAAATCTCAAAATCTCAAGAAAATAAATCCAGGCCATTAGTGTTAATATTGACCGATTAGATAATAAGCAGATGGGTTTTCAAGACTGAAAAATTTTTATGATTTAATCTCATTAATCTTGATGATTATCTGATTAGTTTTGGGGTTGTAACCCGCATCTTGTAAAATTTTTGATTATTTTCCACTGATTTAATACATTTTCTGTTAACATTGACTTCGATTTTTTGAGAAAGGCATTTAGCCAATAGAAACGCGTAGCGATTTTGATTGGTTGAAATTTTTCAAGCATTCGGTCCTTCAAGCATGAGAACCTTCCCCACTACACACGTTTATAGAGACCAAAGTGTGAATTAGTGTTGAATCAATTAATTCTCATTTTTAAAATCGAAGGATAATCGATGAATGTCCCAAGGAAAAAATAAATTATTAGCCACCACATTCAACTATATTCTATTTTAATAAATATTTGTTTTTGACTTAGTTTCAACCAATGGTAGCGATACTTTTTTGCATTTCAACAACTTAGTCATCGGAAATTTTAGAAAAAAGTCCAAGTCCGGCAAAAAAAAACAAAAAAAAATTGAAAATGTAAAAAGGAAATCATGTTCAATTAAAATCATGTTGAATTATTATCATTTTTTGAGCTCGAGAAAATTTTCTATGTGTCTTTTGGTTCACAGCGGGTGACTTAGTTATCTTTCTAACTGAGTCACCCTTACTGATTTTTTCCGATCGTACTTTCACCGTATTTTCAAGGCTGATCTATTTTTTCAAGGTATTAGCATGTCAGCTATCTAACTATTTCTTTTTTTTTCTGTGTGATACCCAGCAGAAACTATTGTCACACATTTCTTTATTAGGTTTTGCAGGTTTTGATTTTCTAAAGTTTAATTCATAATCATTCAGTAAAAGGAAGGCAAATTACATGGGCACATAAAGGAAGGCAAATAAAATTCACTAAAAGGAAGGCAAAACTAGTGACTCAAAAATATTTGAATTTTTTTATAGTTTGAAAGTGAATGTACTTTTACTTGGTATAGTTTTTCTCAGAATTTCGATATATGATTTTTTTTAAACAAACATAACTTTTCTGTTTGCTTGACTTCACGTACGTTTTTCCAACTGTCTATTGACTTTGTTTTATAGAGAAAAAATTCCTCAAAAGGTACACTTATATCAGATTAATTTCTGCGAGTACAATTACTCTGGAGGCTATCCCTGGACGGTGTCAGGACAAAAGATACCATACCAAAAGCTCCCATGACAAAAGATACCATACCAAAAGATCCCTTGTATAAAAATCGCCCATACCATAAAATCCCATGCCAATTAAAAAGATCCCATGAATTATGAACAAAAATCATGATCAAAGTGTAAGCAGAAATAAATCTAGAGTAATGATACCTCAATTAGGTTCGCGCTATTGAAAAACAATGCAAATTTAAGATAACTAAATTTAAACTGGACCCATTTTTGGGATTAACATAGTGCCAACATGTGTTTAATTTAGTGTTAATATGGCATTGAATTAGAACAACTTAATTGAAAATGAATACACTCTGCATTCATTATCTCCCTCTTTAACTCATTGATAAGTCAAAAATGAATTCTTTTACTTGGGGAACCTCACAAAAAGGCCAAACTTTGATTATTCTTGATGGCCATGAATTTCAAAAGAAACGCGATACGAAGACAACGACACACTGGCGCTGCAGCAAATGGAGATCGTATAAATGCCCGAAAACTTTAATCACTTCTGGGAGCGATATAATCTCACAGAGCAACGAGCATAGTCATGAGCTCAACGCAGGACGCTCAGAAGCTCGACAACTAGTTCAACAAATGAAGGAGACAGTTAGGAATCAATTAAATCCAGTAAACAGTCAGATAATCGCAGCTAGTTTGCAATTGGTGCAGGACGAAAAAGCAACCCAACTGTCTTTGCCCTCCCGGTCGGCGCTAACGCGAACTTTAAACAGAAGTAAACAAACGACATCCCTGCCCACTATTGCCACAGATGACCGTCATTTCGAAATACCCGATCGTTTTAAGCAATTTTGTCTTTTTGATAGCGGAAAACAAGATACGGAGCGCATATTAATTTTTGGCGACCTTGAGAACCTCAATGCACTTAAATTGTACAACAAAACCTGGCTTGTAGACGGTACTTTCAAAATTTGCCCCAGTCAGTTTTACCAGCTGTACACTGTACACATCCAGATTGGCGGGTTTTATCCACCTTGCGTTTACGCTCTGCTTAGCAATAAGCGCTTATCAACCTATAACAAATTCCTAACCGCACTCAAATCGCTTATCGGTGACGTAACCCCGGAAAGAATTTTGATCGACTTTGAAATTGCGGCTCTGAGTGCTTTTACCTCTCATTACGAAACTGACATTAAGGGATGCTATTTTCACCTCTGTCAGAGTTTTATGCGAAAAATATCCGAATTGGGCCTGAAAAAGACGTACGAATCAAACAGCGAGCTAATTGTCTTATATATAACGGATATAATTGTCTTATATCCGTTCACTTGCCCATTTAAGCTATTAAATTTTGTT